AAGGTTTTAGAGGGAATGGTATTCACATAGTGAGGTAGCAAAAGGGATCTGCTTTGAAACTGAAGAGGGACGGACTTCTCAGACTGGAGGGAAAGAAAATGGGAAGAAAATTAAGGAAGAAAAACTGAGTGAGAAGTGCTTTAAATTTGGGAGTCAAGGATCTGAAGGAGATTTCAGGATCATCTTTACAGAGTCTAGTGAAATCCAGGAATTGTATGATAAATTTATGAGTCCTTGTATTTTTCTACTACACAACACCCCCGCCCCGGGAAAAGGCTAAAAACCAAACTTTGGAGTCTTTTGGCTCAAAAAAAAATGTATTTTTTAAAATTTAGTTCTAAGATGGTTTACAAAGTTCTAGTTGAACATCTATCTGGTAAAGGATCTGAACCACTAGCAATTTCTACAGCTGACAAGCAGGCCTGCACCCATGGAGTGAATAACTTTTCTGAACTGCACACAAGATATATTAGCTAAGTAATGTGTTAACTGGATACAATGTTTAAACTGCAAGTTGAAATTTGGTAGTACTCAATTTTTAAAAAAGTTACTTATAGACTAAGTTTTATAAATGTAGGAACAATATATTTAAGTAATCAACCTTTTGAGACTTTTCAAAATCAGTCTTAAAGATTACAATTACCAATATGGTTTAGTGGTTCAATAAAAACAGGAAACCCCCGGCTCTACCATGAAGTGACTGTGAAGTTGTATGCAATTCCCCCACCCCCACTTCACCACCCTGTCCTGTTTCCTCTGTCAAATGAGGACAGAGGACTGCAAGTTTCCCCAGGTCCCAACTTAGACAAGAATAGATGTACAGATGTATAAAGATTCCTTCAAAAACATAAATAAAAAAACTAAAAACATTACTGATGAACATGACTTACTTCAGTAATTATTTAGCAACTCCATGTTGCTATGTATCATTTGTATGACTCTGAAATGTTTAGACTACTAACATCAGCATGCTTCAAGGCTGGTTAGACAAGCAGGTAAGACATTGAACAGACAGAAAAGTTTGGCAAACACTGGGCATCAAGATGATCAACAACTTTATTTCAAAGGTAAAATCACTATTTCTGATGCGCTAGTGTGAAAGCAGAACTGTGAACTCTACTTGTCACATTCATTCTCCTTGCCTACTTCTTTCATTCTTCCTTTTTAGTTATCTTTGCTACTAATCTAAATCAGCCTTCACTTCTCAGGCCTGGACTCTTAATGGCTCTCCCCATCTCCAGTAGCTCATAAAGCCCAGCTGAGGCGCATCTTCCTAAAGGACCATTTAAGAACCATTCCTAAGGTTAAAGCTATGCAATGATTCCCCCTTAAGTTGAATTTCCTTTGCTTATACTCAAGGACTGCTCCAAGTTTAGCACAATTATTATTATTTTTTTTTTACAGCTTTATCTTCCCCACTCAGTGTCACATCCCGCCTGCCTACTGTTCCCTAGTGTTCCCTAGGCATCCCCACCTTTACGACAATCTCTTGACCTCTTCCTTCAAATGAGGCCCAGGTGAAATACTGCCTCTTCTTTGCCTTCAATGCAGCTTGAAACTGCAAATATTTACAGAATGTTTTTCTATGTGCTAGAATGTGCTAGCAACAGTGGATGATGAAAAGATGAGGAAGCCTTTGAAGGTATAGAGCAGGGGGGAAACTGACAGTTACAAATGATATCCTAGAAGGATACAGACTATTCAACATCTTTTTTTTTTTAATTTAGGCTACCATAATGTTAGCTTCCTCACAAACAAGCTCAACCCTCACCACTACTCTCTAAAGACCATAGTGTTGTTTCTTCATTGAGCATACAGCTACTCAGAAAGTTTCCAATACAGTGGGGCCTTGACTTACGAGTGTCCCGACTAACGAGTTTTTTGAGATACCAGCTGTCTCTCCGCCGATTTTTTGCATTGAGTTGATAGAGTAATTTGAGTTAACGAGCTCGGTCTTGGAACAAATTAAACTCGTAAGTCAAGGCCCCGCTGTGTATGTAACATTTTCCAAACATTATTCAAGGTAAGGAGAATTTTAACCACTTTCCTACATATCCTCTAGAGTTTTAAAATGCAGATGTTACTACAACCAAATTTCTATCACAATTCAGGCCATACTTATTTTTTAAAATCTGTGTTCATGGATGAGTGATGTTAAAATACTATTAACTAAGGTGAATGATCCACTCAACATTCTGCACCTGAGATCCTCCCCACACAAAAAAGTAAAAAAACAAACAAAACACCAAAAAAACCAAAAAATTAAAAACCCGGGCTTAGAATATCAAATTACTTTAAGTTTACATTTTCCCAGAATTTGAAGCCATAATTAATCAAACACTTGATCAAATAAATGCCACTCAAAAACGTTTTAGAAACTGTCATCACATATAAAGATATAGAGATTATTTACAAATTTGTCTTCTCCAGCCAGGAACTGACTTATAAAGAATATTCATGAAAAACTCTAGTGAAACAGTGGAAATTAGAAAACAAAAAAGCAATTTTAAATCTAAGTGAAAGATGTGTAGAGGAAATAAAAAAATGGGGCTGCACACCGGCGGATTATTGGACAGAGGCCCATCTCCCTTTTTCGCATATACACTAAGCACCTGCAGGAGGTAGGAACTTCAAAGACTTGACACTTTTGTAGTGTTCATGACTCCAAAATTAAAACACTGCATATTAAAAAACTGACACGTTGTGTTCCAAAGATAACTTAGGATGCTTTAGATAAAAAGCTAATTTTATCTCCAAATGTGGATGCAGTGTGTGTTTGCTAACAAAACAGAATCGGACTCGGTCATTATAGAAGTAAGACTTTCCGGAGTAAAATTTTTCCCTTAAATGATGAACTTGTCTAATGGCAAATGGTTCATCTTCCTTATAGTTCTGGGTCTGAGATCCACGAGCAATTATTAGCTGGAACGTGACACAGGGCAATTTGTTTAAGGGCCAAGGGAAAGTCTGGAAGCTTTGTTCTAACAACTGCGTAACTGCTGCTTAACAATAATTAAAAAAAAAAAAAAAAGGGATCAAGTCTTAAGAATTACATCTGCAAGAGCTCGATTTACTCACTGAAAGGTCTTCGGAGTCTCGTGTGTTAAGGAAATAAAAAGAACAGAGCAACCTGGAAAGGAAAAAGAACAGCCCCCCACACAGCTTGGAAACAATTGTTGGGCTTTGCGGAGCCTTCCGTACGGTACCCCCGGCCAAGCCCAGGGAGAGGGGTCTCGGGTCGGCTCGGGGCCGGCCGGGCCGATGCCACCCCCGTCGAGCGGACCCTCACCTTCTCCACCTCCGCCCCGCGCTGGGGCTCCCGCTCGCTTCCCGCTTGGCCCCGGCAGCTGGGGCCCCTGAGCCTGGAAGACAGGAGTCGGGCGCCCGAGCTCCATCCGTCCCTTTCGGCCTAGGAGCCGGACGACCCTTCTCCCATAGCCAGTTTCAAAGCAAAAGGGGCCGGAGCGGGCGAAAACCGCCATAACCGCCAAAGACCCGACGCTGCGGCTGCGGGGAGGGTCCACGCCCAGCTTCTCACACTCACCTGCCTCCCCCGGAGGCCCCCGCGCCGGCTCCCGCGGCCCCGCCGCCGCCAGCTCCAGTTCCCGGCCGCAGCGCCATCTTGCTCCGGGCCTGCCTCCACCTCCGCTGACGCCGCCGCCGCCGCCACCACCTTACGAGCAGCTGTCAGCGGAAAACAGCCACTTCCGGGGCAAACGCCAGACCCTACCTCGCCGCAGACCGGGCGACCGGGCGGGGCCGGAGGCCCACGTGACCCCCGAGGCCGGGAGAGGGGTGGTGCGCTCTGCTCACGTGACCCGGCCGCCGCTAGGGGGTCCTCCAGGTGCAATTCTAGTTCTGGGACTGATCGGTCTTGTGCTCAGCTCCCCGGGAGCTGATTCATTCTCTGGAAAGGCTGTTTGGAGAGTCCAGCTGGCGGCAAAGCTGCAAGGCGTCGTCGTCCCTCCGTTGGAAAAATCATCATCTTGGTCAGTGGGAAGAGCAGATTGAGTCCTGTTTTTTTAAACTCGATGGTGGGTACACGGTGTTCTCTCATTGTTATTCTTTGCACACAAAGAATAGAAGGATCCAGCGCTCTCCATTTCCTCCCTGGAACTCGGCAGCTTTCTTTTGATACCCACCCCCAAAGCTGAAGGTATTTGAAATTTAATTTAGTAAAACAGCAAACCCCAATCCACATATAAAACCTCCAGGGTGCATAACTCTTGTTTGGTTCTGCCATCGTGCCACCCAGTAATCCATTTTTCCTACCCAGGTATGCCTCACAGATATAGTGGTTGGGTGCAGACCACCGCAATAAAGAGTATGGCAATAAAATGAGTCCTAATCTTTTCGCTGGTGCAGGGTGTTGCCTTCAATTTATATTTTTAAAAAACCGCAACAACTGTGAAGACAGTAAAGCGAAGCACAGTACAAGGTAGGCATGTGGCGAAACTGGTGTTGAAAGCAGTCCATAACTATTATTAACCTGACCATATTTTTACCGTGATTTTTCTTAGTCAAACTACTCTAAGTAAAATAAAGTCAAATATAAACTTTTTCAAGTACTCAGGCAGTTTGCTTACTAGCAAGTAATAGATTAATTATAATTATCTTTCACTCATCTCAAGGCTTTTACAGGTACATAACTTGTAATCTTATCGTTTATTGGGCACAAATCACTGGTCAGGAACTTCACTGTATTTTTTGAAATCCTCAGTGTCCCTAAAAGTTAGTATTGGCATATTACAGATAGGAAAACCAAGGTTAAAAGTAGTAATTTACTTAAGTTATACAGGGGCAAAGCAGCAGGACCGGGATTCAAAACTTGGTGTTTGACTTCAAGAAGTCCTTGCTCATTTCACTAGAGCCAACTATTCAATTATCATGCATTCTTTTTTCATAAATTGTTTACGAATTTCATTCCTTGTGTAGATTACTTCCAACTGATATAAAGGTGTTAAATTCAGTATTAATCCATTGACAAACCAAGGTGATTATAGGTTTATGTAATTTTTATTTAAGGATGGGTGGTTACACACAAAATACTGAAGAGGAAGTCAAACGAAAGTATATCAAGGGTCACAGATGTGGTATCTGCCTGAATACTTTTTCTTCTTTGCCTATAGATTCTTATATCTGCAAGACTCATCTCAGGCTATCAGCCTTCATGGCATTTCCAGTATGGGTTAGATACCCTCCTGTGATTCCTTATGTCTAACAGCATACGCCACACTATTTGTTCCTGTACTTTATCCCTAACCACTACACTGGAAGACAGGGATTGTTATCAAGCCTGTATTCTGAACCAAATATGTTTAAGGAATATTTGTTGTGAATTTGCATTTGGCACAGTGTTAGGTACTTCTAACCTTGAGACATAATTAGTATTACCCCCAATTCCATAAATGAAGAAAACTGAAGCTCTGATAAATGAATGAACTTATTCAGTCATATAGCTGGCAAATGGGTGGCAGCAGTATACCTATCTTCAGAATACAGAATCGACCTGTTAGTCAGAACACAGAAAATCACATTTGTATTGTTTGCACCTTGTAGTAATAGAGCTCCATTTACATAAATTCTGAAGGTGAACAATTTTTTGTCCATCTAAAATATTCCAGTTGGGAGCCTACCTGTACTGACTCGAGTAAAAGGCTAAGAATCAAGGAAATGCTTCTGCTCGTCTTTCAATTCCTTCAGTTTTCTGATGGCACTTTACTGTGACAGTAGAAGTGGTGTTATAGGTACACGCACCACGAGCTACTGTTTTCATGCAGGAATCTGTGCCAGATTTCAGTTCATCTCATCTTGGTTTTGTCACAGGAGCAAGTATACTTGGCCTGCTGGTTGATTTCAATTTTCTTCACCATTTTCTTGAGGAAGGTGCCATAATGGGTCCCGTAGTTCCCCATGATTCCGACCTTCTTGGTGTGTTTAGCCATGTGGCCACAAACTGGGTCAGAACCCAGAGAGGACTGAAGTTGGTTTTTTATTCCACTGTTCAAATCTATCAACAGAGAAAAATCTGCTAATGGTGAATAATCTCCATCACTGTATAATCGTAATTCTTTACCTTTGGCTGAGACCTGCTTACAAAATGGATGAAGGGCCATGAAGTCTCAGGAAAGGTAAGATGTAAGAGAATGCAGCCGCAGGTATATCAAGTAATAGGAACATTCTTCCTTATCAGGACAAAACTATCAGTTTTCGAGCAAAGTCATCTTGAATGGAAAGAGACAGGAAAGAACATGGTTAAATGATGAAAAGTGAAGAAAGGGAGAAGCTGGACAACAATATGGTGATTACCAGAGGGAAAGAGGGTAGGGCGAGGTAGAGAGTAAAGAGGTGATAAATGGTGATGGAAGGAAACCTGACTTGGGGTAGTGAACACAATACAATATAGAGATGATATATAATAGAATTGTACACCTGAAACCTATATAATTTTATTAACCAATGTCACTCCAATAAATTCTTTTAAAAAAATACATTTAAAATAAAAAGGGATAGGCTGACCATATTTTGTAGTTACAACATTAAACAGGTAAAGTATGAGCTACCTTACCAATGAAATATATGAATATTTAATAGACCAAGGAATTTAAAATCCTAGAGAACTTGAACACCAGCCACAGAAGAGGCATCTTTTTGTTGTGGTTTACACCATAAAAGGCCATCAAGAAATAGTAAAATAAAGAGCAGTAGCTTTCTTCTTGGTAGATAGTCTGTGTCCATTCAAAAACAGAAACAAAAACAGACTGGGGTGGGGGGAGAGAGAGGAGACATTCAACTTCAAGGCTTTACTTTGAAAGTTTGGTTCCAAATGTCTCTCTACAACATACATCACACTTTCCTTCACACTTGAAGGCAAAAATCCTTAGGAGTTCACCACATATGGTTATTTTATTTGTAGCGTAAGCTTTTGTTCTTCTATAAGAAGTATCTCTCTGGAGCCAAACCACAGAAATGTCAATGAATGTGGTTTTCATCGTTTAATCATTTAAAAGTTTGACATGATGCACTGAAAGTTCATGATCATTTTTCACCAGTCCCATGTTCTTGTAGTTGACTACAGGTGATTTTAAGATGAAGTATTCCATGTAAACAACATTCATGTTAAGATCATAAAATGATGTTTCTGATACGGCTTTTTAAAAAATATTTTTTTTAGCTTTTGTCTTCAAGGGATGCTTTCTTCTTGCTGTTCTGACCAGTGACCTTTTTCCTGTGACAAGAAAAGCTGAATCAGAAATTCTAGGTATATGTACTTTCCAAAAGTCTACCAGTTTAATAAACATTGACTGAAACCTACTATATAATCAAATATATGAGGCACTGGGAACACAAAGATACATTAGGTCAGTGGTCGCTCAACCTTTTGGACCTCACGGACCACCAGTGGTCCACACACCACTGGTTGGCGACTGCTGCATTAGGTCACTGCTCTTTAGAAAAACCACAATCACCTAAGTGAGACAGAAAGGTCACGATAAACTACATTACACTACAATCCTATCTAATAAAAGAGAAACATGGTAATTAGCCGTACATCCGCTACCCTTCCCATTGGCTAATCAGGGCGATATGCAAATTAACTGCCAGCCAAGATGGCGGCCGGCTGTCAGGCAGCTTGAAGTTAACATGAGGCTTGCGTGCTTCAGTGACGGAGGACTCCAATGTTCCCCGCCTGCCACTGCTGGCCTCTGAGCTTGCAGTTTGAAACATTCTTACAAATATAGAAGCTAAACAAAACCCCAGAAACCTGCTTTCAGCGAGCCACGATCTCAGAGCTGGAGTTGATACAGTGTATCGATTATAGAACCCAAACAAACCAGATACCTGCTTTCAGCAGCAGAGGCCTAAGAGCTGGAGCCAGAGCTAAAGCTGGCCCAGAATAAAAAAAAAAGAGAAAAAGGAGCAGTTGGGAGCTTCAGTCACCCGCCAGCCTGAAAACAGCCCTCAGCCCCTCACCCAGACTGGCCAGGCACCCCAGTGGGGACCCCCACCCTGAAGGGTGTGTGACCAGCTGCAAACAGCCATCATCCCCTCACCCAGGCTGGCCAGGCACCCCAGTGAGGACCCCAACCCTGATCCAGGACACTCTTCAGGGCAAACCAGCCGGCCCCTACCCATGCACCAGGCCTCTATCCTATATAGTAAAAGGGTAATATGCCTCCCAGCACCGGGATCAGCGGAGCCGCGAGGCCTCCCGGCACCGGGATCAGCGTGACAGGGGGCAGCACCCAAACCCCCTGATCACCCTGCGGCTGTGTGTGTGACAGGGGGCGGGGCCACAACCTCCCTATCTGCCCTGCTCTGTTCGGGACAGGGGAAGGCACCCCAACCCCCTGATCAGCCCTGCTCTGTGCCTGATAGGGGGGAGCTCCCCAACCCCCTGATCGCCCTGCGGCTCTGTGTGTGACAGGGTGCGGCACCCCCCCGCCACCCCCCCACAGGCCCTGCTGTGTGTGTGTGACGGGGTAGAGCCATAACCTCCCCATCAGCCCTGCCCTGAGTGTGACAGGGGCGGCGCCTCAACCCACTGATCGGCCCTGCTCTGTGGGTGATAGAGGGTGGCGCCCCAACTCCCCCCACTCCCCCCACTCCCCCCACGGGCCCTGCTGTGTGTGTGACGGGGTAGAGCCATAACCTCCCCATCGGCCCTGCCCTGAGTGTGACAGGGTGCGGCGCCCCAACCCCCTGATCCGCTCTGCTGTGTGTGTGTGACAGGGGGCGGTGCCCCAACTCCCCTATCGGCCCTACTCTGTGACAGGGGCGAGCTCCTCAACCCCCTGATTGGCCCTGCTCTGTGTGTGACAGGGGGCGGTGCCCCAACCCCCCAATCGGTCCTACCCTGAGCATGACTGAGGGTGGCATCGCAACCTCCCAATCAGCCCTGCTCTGTGCATGACAGGGGGCAGCGCCCCAACTCCCCAATCGGCCCTGCTCTGAGCCCGACCAAGGGCTGCACCTAGGGATTGGGCCTGCCCTCTGCCACCCAGGAGCAGGCCTAAGCCAGCAGGTCGTTATCTCCTGAGGGGTCCCAGACTGCGAGAGGGCACAGGCCAGGCTGAGGGGACCCCCCCCCCCAGTGCACAAATTTTTGTGCACCGGGCCTCTAGTCCTATATAATAAAAGCGTAATATGCAAATTGATCAAATGGTGGAATGACCAGTTGCTATGACGTGCACTGACCATCAGGGGGTAGATGCTCAACGCAGGAGGTGCCCCCTGGTGGTCAGTGCATGCAGCGGCAGTGGGGGGAGCCTCTCCTGCCTCCGCTGCAGGTGGGCAGTTAGGAGAGAGGGGTCCCAGACTGCAAGAGCCCCAGACTGCGAGAGGGATGTCTGACTGCCAGCTCAGGCTCGTCCTCCCCGTTCCCCCCGCACAAATCCCATGTACCAGGCCTCCAGTATGGTATAAAAGACAGATTCTGACCTAATAGTAAGAGTTCACAAGTGCTATTACTGTTATAAGTGCCTTATATGTTATCATCTTGGATAATCTTCCTAATTTATGAAGAAGATTCTTTATCCTCATTTTACAGATGAGGAAAATTAAGTAGAGTGGCTAGACAACTTGCTGATCATCACACACTGGTAAACCCCAACAATCTGATTTCAGAGTCTGGTGAATGCCTTCAACTAAATGTTAACACAGGAAAAGGAAATGAGTTTTGAGAAAATAATCAATGTTTGCATACCATAGTATAGTAATGCAAAGTTCTCAGGTGTGTATTAACGAATTTAATCTGCAGGCAATCCCAAGTGGCAGAGTTTGTATTATTTTCAGGTTGAGAAGCTGGGACTGAAGATATGGACGGAAGCGTTATCAGCATAGAGGTATGAGCTGAGGCTACAGATGTGGATAGCATCATTAAAGGAACACCTACATTGAAAAACTAAGCTAGAGTCAGATCAGTTCTTGTTTGTGGGCTATATTAAGAAGCATGGCCTTTAGGCACGCTCTCCCTCTCAGGAGCACACAGGCACCTTTCCCTTCTCCCTCTTCTTCCCCTACCAGGTACATTACCTTTGCTTTTCTCTCTCCTAAGCACCAAGGGCCCTTCTTTAGCCTTTGTAACTTGCTTGAACCTACGCAGCCCAGCCGGCTCACTTCTACTACTTCTGTTTAACTTCCTAAAAGAACTTTCTCTTTTAATTTGAAAAAATAAAAATAAAAAAAAAATAAATAAAATTAAAAAGTATGGCCTTTAATTTAATTGTAAAGAAAATGAAAAGAGCATCTTAAGTGTCTAAAGTGACAATATTTATACCGAGTGTCCTCAAAACCTTAGTGCATCTTTAAGTTTTAATAACTTCAAAAGCATAAATGCTACAAACGGACAAAAATCAACATTTAATTAAGATATTCATGTTTCTTATTACAATCATAATAGTCACCATCTTATGCTCTAAGTTAATTTTCAACTGTTGTAAAAACTTTCATTAGCTGCTGCTCAATGCCTAAAATTGCATTTGCAATCCTAGCTTTAGCCTCACCCAAAGAACAAGGTTCTAATGCCCACTAAAAAGAAGTCTAGCCGAAACCGGTTTGGCTCAGTGGATAGAGCTTCGGCCTTTGGACTCAAGGGTCCCAGGTTCGATTCCGGTCAAGGGCATGTACCTGGGTTGCGGGCACATCCCCAGTAGGAGATGTGCAGGAGGCAGCTGCTCGATGTTTCTCTCTCATCGATGTTTCTAACTCTCTATCCCTCTCCCTTCCTCTCTGTAAAAAATCAATAAAAAAAAAAAAAAAAAAAAAAGAAGTCTAAAGAGAGAGATTAGGTGGCCAAAAAGATAAAATCTGAGACACATTAGGTTGGCAAAGCAGAGTGACCTCCTCTACCAGTCCACTAGTCTAAATGTCACCCAGAAAACTGCTGCCACAAAAAATTAAAAAACCTATTAAGAACTCACAAAACTAAGTACAAGTTAAGAAGATTACTTTTTCAAGGATTACTTTTCCCAAGGGATTAAAGCTTAAAACTCACTGAAACTTTGGAACACACTGTACTCTCTATATACTTGAACTGAACATTATTTCCCACAATACAAAATGTCAGGTAAGATTCTTGTTCCACTTAGAAGGAAAGTGCATTCCAGTGTCTCTGTTCACCTTGTTCCTTCTATATGCCTAAATTTTACCTATCTTTAAGATCGGTGTACTTCCTTGAAACTTTCTGGGACTACACTAATCCACAACAAATTTCCCTTCTCTAAATTTAATTTATTCTCTGTTTTTTTTCCTGCATACTAACTTCGGAAACAAGTCTCATTGTATACATTTGTATAAACTACCACCATCAAGTACCAGCAGGACAATAGATACTCAGTAAATGCCTACACTTCATGTATAATATATATTAACGGGTACTAGTAGAATTTGAAGAGTGTTGTCTTCCATAAATAGTGGAAATACTAGTACTGTTCAGAATATATTAGCCTACTCCTATCAAAACATGTTGCTTCCTAGCAATTCTGTATGTATGCTAAAAAAAAACACCTATCCTTAAAACTCATTCAATGCAGCCATACTACTACAAATTTTTTTAACCAAAAGTCATACTTTTTATAGGTTTTACAATGTGCGTCAGCATAAGTCTAAGATTATATGAAATCCTGCCCAGAATATAGAGCTTCAAGGAAGATTCCATCAATGTGAGTCCTAACTATTGGCCTCAGTAGCATACCCTGATGCAAGATGGGTGGAGATGGTGGGCAATGCAATTCTAATTTATAGTAAATTGAAATTATGTTTTCAGAACTGGAAAAAAACAGATCCAAGACTGAATCATCCAAACTCCCAAGTCATTCCCCTAACCTAAGGTATATTACTTTTATTACAATCTATAACAGACTGTACACCTATTAATTCTATCTCTAAAAAAGCTTATCCTAAGTAAAAGTAATGCCTACTCTAATTATATTATGAAAACAACCAGTTAATTTTCTCACCATATACTTACCGTTTATCCTTAGCCTTTTCTAAGAAGTATTTTGGAGTTGTACTAATGCTCTCCCTTTGCAATGGCTTCTTAATCATTTTTTTCTTTTGTTTGCTAAAAGTTACAAAGAGAGGAAAGAACTAAATGAAGTGTAACTTAATTTAAAAGTTAAAGCTAAAACTAATTTTGATTCTTGTCACAAAGTTCATTTTTTATCTGCTCACTGATTTATCCACACTTGTATCCACTTTATATACTAGATTACCTAATAGCATTTACAGAGGTAACCAAAAGGGATGGTAAATTCAATCAATTTTAAAAGGCAGTGATTATGGCTAAAATATGTCCCTTATATTCTGTGCCAATAAGCATTAATGTGATTTTGGCCAATTAACTGCTTTTTACCAGTTTTATGAACTAAAACAAAATCCAAATGTATTTCACTCATATTGAGTAATTTTTTTAAAAAGTCTGAATACTTAAAATTTCAAGGATGAGAAAACTAGCAAGGTTTAAAAAACATACAGTATTCACAAAAATTTTACAAGGAAAATTTTTATCTTAAAATGTTCTAAAAGTTAATAGTATTGTTAAAACTATGTGTAAGAATGTGAAAGCAAGAATGTATATGCAAAGACAGGAAGAGAGAAGGTCTGGTAAATTCAAGACTGTACCTTAATAGTTTTTGGAAACCTTTTATGTATTCTGGAACAGGACATCCGGCCTGCTGTATAACATTGGCAACGCTGAAAAAGGTACCCATTAACATAAATTTGTATCTTATCAAACAAATGTTTATGAACTTGCACCCTCTGCACAATATAAGAGGAACTAAAGCTACACAAGCAAGAAAATAATCCGGTATTTTAATGTATTGTCAATTACCATCAGATATAATCACAGATTACTAACAGAATGTCTGCTGGACTAAAATCAATGATTGATGCATAATTTTAGAAAGCAGCTATTTCTGCTCAACATTTATTTTATCAAGCCCTAAAAAGCCTCTAAGCTCAACCTTGGATGAGAAACTGACTGAAGCCAGAGTCAGGCTTAAATCTATTAAATGATAGTACTTACTATGGGTTTGGCATTGTATTAGGTTTTTCATGTATAGTAACTTATTCAATCTTCACAACAACCCTTTTAGTATTATCATTATCCCCATTTCTCAGATGAAAAATGGAGGTGCATAGTTACACTGATATGGGGGGGAGGGGTCATCAAATTCACATGCTTGGAGTTGCTGAGGAAACTTTAGGTGAATCTAGGCGGTTGGAATACATACTGCCCTACACCTGCACATGTGAAAGTCTGCTCAAAGCAAAACCAAGGCTTTCAGAGCCACGGCTCAGAAGGCACAAATCAAAATCTTTGCCAAAACAGATAAACTCAAAGTACAAACTGCTTTCAGCCACAACTCAATTTTTTTTTTTTTTTTAAAGAGAGAGTGGGAGAGGGAAAGACAGAGAAATATCGATGTGAGATAAACACATCAATTGGTTGCCTCCAACCAGGGCCTAGGCCGGGAAGGAGCCTGCAACCAAGGTATGTGCCCCTGACCGGAATTGAACCTGGGACCCTTCAGTCCTCAGACCAATGCTTTATCCACTGAGCCAAACCAGCTAGGGCCACAACTCAATTTCAACTGTTAGAAATGTGATGTGTTACTGATTATCATCAGGCTAAATTTTCTGCAGGCAGCCAAAATGTAGGAAACTCAACCTCTATATTAGTATCTATAATGGGCTAAATTAAAACCCATGATTCTAAAATTATATCTATCATATGTTATCTAGGCCTCAAGGGGCTACAATTGAATAATATTGGCGTGTGCTCCTGCGACTAAATATAAAACTTCTGCCCCTAAGAGTAATGGGAAGGATGCACTATGGTAAGAATTTTGATGGGGCTAAAGAGACTGACTGAGGTTAATTTTAAACTATTACTCATTCAAAAACCATAATATTACATTGTAAATAATTTCAACTGGTGGCTATTGGGAGAATTCTGAGTTATTAGAATTTTGGAATATTTGTTATTATTAACAAACTAGAGGGCCGGTGCACAAAATTCATGCACGGGTGGGATCTCTAGGCCTAACTGGCGACCAGGGCTGATTGGGGCCAGGCTGGAGAGGAGGCGATGGTCACCGGGCTGGGTGCGGAAAGAACAAATGCCAGCTGCCAATGCCACCGTTGTCCGTGCCCCACAACCACGCAGTTCCCAGCCTCCCCCCTCCTCCTTCCCTCACTGGGGTGCCACCACCACAGCAGGCAGATGGTAGGTTGATTGGGGCCTGCTGGCTGGGGGGGAGGGACATGGCACGGGAGGTTGGCCACCGGCCCTTGGGAAAGGGGCCGCACCTGCCACCACCCATCCCTGGTTCCCCATCCCAGCTCAGGGGCCTGCCAGCTGGGGGGAGCAATCGCAGGAGGTTGGACAGTCGAGGGAGGTTGGCTGTGGGAGTGCACTGATCACCACAGGGCAGCACTTGCATTAAGCATCTGCCCCCTGGTGGTCAGTGCACGTCATAACAACTGGTTGTTCTGGTCATTCCGATCGCTTAGGCTTTTATATATATAGACAATAATCGAAAGGCAAAAATAAGGCCTTTTGATCATTTTTCCTTTTCTCATTGCTAAAATTTAGTTGACTACTATAGCAAAATTTTGGACAAAGATGTTTTGTAATTATCTGTTAACTGTGTATACATATAAAAATAATGAATCAATGTTGCCAACTTAACACAAAGTTATTTTTCCTAATTTACCTTCTTAATAATGGTTTATCATCTTCAGTGAAAAATGTAACAGCTTTTCCTCTATGCCCTGCTCTTCCAGTTCGACCTAAGAAAAACCAGACCATTAAAAAACACTTTTTTGGGGGAAAGAGACCTTCCAAATTCACATATAAAGGTGGATTTTTCACAGCACTAAAAAACTGATCATGTTTGTAGGGAATAGCACAGGTGCTAAAATGGATAAGTGTGGAGGCAGGGGACAACTCACCTATCCTATGGATATATTCCACTGAGCTTGTTGGAAAGTCATAGTTGATCACCAAGTTCACACCTTTAAAATCAATCCCTCTGGCTAGCAAGGCTGTACAAATAAGGACCCAGATTTTTCCTGCTCGGAAGCTTTGGACTGTGTTATCTCTCTGGTTAATAGAACATATAGTAAATGTTTTAGTACCACTCTAAGAATGGAAAACATTTTTAAAATTTAGTTATCATTTTGAGAGTATACATTTGACTTTACCTGTTCCTGTGTTCTGTCTGCATGAATAACATCCACATTAATACCTTCATATATGAGCTCATGAAAAAGTTCTTTAGCCCGTTCAATGGACTGAACAAAAACAAGAACAGGTGGATTGAAACCCTAAATAGAAATGCAATAATCAGTACATATAACCCATAATTAAGAATATAATCACAGTATTTTATACAATTTTAGTTCATAAAAGAATCCAATTCAATGTAGTGTACTTTCATTGCCAAATTTCTAGGACCAGTGGTCTAATCTGCCTACCTTCCTCATCATCCCTTCTCTATAATGAATTTTTTCCACCAATTTGAACTGTACTCTCCATCTTGAAAATTCCAATGATCTTGTCTAATTAACCCCCCCTTTACCTTTCTACAGCAATGGATTCCTACTGCTTGAAATAATAATCTCTCGGCCTCTGTGCCTCAGAACTTTTTTGATTCTACTTAAAATGTAATGACTGTGTTTTTAATTCATTATCTATCTTAACTGTGGGTATTCCCCAAAAGCTCAGTTCTTGGTTCTCAGTTCTCTCAATATTTACCTTATTAAAGTCTCACTTATAAACTACCAGCTCTAAGCAAATGATTTTTACATTTATATCATACTCTGTCTCTCTCTAAACCAACTTTGTATATTTTCAACTGTCTATATTAGGGCTTAATCTTTTTATTTTTGTTCATACAATTTTCAGAATCTAATGAAAGCAATGAAACTTTCTAATAGGCAACCACACATTTACACAAAATCTAACATGATTTCAGAACATTCACAAATCTAAAGCTCATGTGTAATCCTATGTATCTGTGAAAAACCTTGTATTTCCTATTGCTAAATGATACCCTTAAGAATATTTTTAAAACACATAGCATTTATTATTTGCCAACCACTATTTTAAGTACTATATGTGTATTAACTCATTAATACTGAAACAACTGTAAGAGGTAGATATTATTACCCCCATTTTACAGATGAGGAAACTGGGGAACAGAGCTTAATTTGCCTAAAGCTAGGCTTTCAATCCAGGTAGTCTGGCTCCAGAGTCAACACTTTTTTTTTTTTTAAATATATATATTTTATTGATTATTTACAGAGAGGAAGGGAGAGGGATAGAAACATCGATGAGAGAAACATCGATCAGCTGCCTCCTGCACACCCCCTACTGGGGATGTGCCCGCAACCAAGGTACATGCCCTTGACCAGAATCGAACCTGGGACCCTTGAGTCCGCAGGCCGACGCTCTATGCGGACTGAGCCAAACCGGTTAGAGCCAGAGTCAACACTCTTAACCGCTCCTGTTGTCACCAGGTACTTGCAAACACCTTTCCTATTCATCCTCAACTACTGTTAACCCTCCACTAAGGCTCTCACCTTTATTTATTTCTTCCTTATGTCTAACCAGCCTCACTTAATAGCCTGCTAATTGGTTTACTTTCAATCTCTTTTCATTACCATCCACCTTATATACCACTATTTAATTTTCCTTAAAAATTATGTGGCCACACTCAACAATGTTCAGTGGTTTCTCTTAACTTGACCCTAACTCTCCTGTCCAAACTGATTATCTTTAATTCCACTATAAATGTTCTCCTTAGGTAACTTCTTATTAGTCTCCAAACACATTCAATGTATTCAGCTCCAACTCTGAGACTTTACAACAGCTGCTCCTCCTGCCACTAATACTTCACTTTTTAATCCCACAAATCCTTCAAGGCCCAGATTAGTAGCATTTTCCCCCAACCAATTCAATTCACCCTTATGGCCCCATTATAACTATATGAATATTTAAGAAAAGCACTCTATAACCTTCTATGGCATTTTATCACAAACTATCTTACACAAGTGTCTTTATTTTAGCTCCTAAAGAAGACTAAACTCTAGGGGCAGAGCTTAGGATTTATATTTCAATAGCCTCCCCCCAACCCTTCAGTATGTAGCCTTTTAACTATGGCTTCTATTCAATATTTACTGAAGGGATACAAACAGAAAATTGTCCTACTCATTCTACAATGCCCCAGTTCAATAAGAAAGCAGCAGAGAAACTGGGGAAGGGGACAAGAGATGCAGAGGGCAGATACATATGCAGTTGTGGAAAAAGGCTTTCAGGGCATCAGGTAGGTCTTTTCCTAGCTTACCGAGCTGGGAATAGGAAGCTTACTGTATTTGAACGGTGGAACCTCTCCAACTTTGGAGAAGAGCTGGCCCAAAGTACTTAACAATTTACCACTGGATTAGTAAGTATGATATAGGTATAGTGCTCAGCCTCCCACTAATAATATAAGGCTTAGTGAACTTTATCAAAAAGATTATTTGGAAATATACCTTTTTAATAAGTTCTCTCATGGCTAGAAGTTTTCCCGTTTCAGATCCAACAAAGAGAAGTTCTTGTTCTACAGTCTCTACTGCAGAATTCCTGAGAAGAAAACATACCTTATAGTTTGCAAGAGCCAATTTTTGCTTCCCTCCACCTGAAATTCCAAGTAAATGAAACAAACACCCCCCCCCCCCCCAAACTGGGATAATGCAGAACAATTACCTTGCTCCAATGGACACAGTAATGACATTGTCCAGGTTGAGTTTGCACCACTGCTCAACATCATATGCAAAAGTTGCACTGAACATAGCTCTTCTGACCTTGTGGGATGTGCAGGCCAGGAAAATAGAAGCCAGCTGGTCTCTGAACCCAGTTTTGCCATCTTCAAATAGTTTATCTGATTCATCTACTACCAGCCATTCAACACTAAGAAATAACAAGACAACTTGTGGGTATTAAACTAGAAGATTCAAGACATTTCACTAAATTGTGGGGACACATGAAGAAGTCAAACCATAATGCTGCTTCTCAGACCCACATACCATTATCACAAAAAGGTATAAGAAAAGTAAGCAAGGAAAGGTAAAGTAAGATAAACATAAATTAATGTAACTATTCCATTAACCTCCAAGATATGAAGTTCCATTAGCAAAAAACAGATATCCACATAAACCTGATAAACTCCATCACCACTGCTGAAAATCTAGGGGATTTCTGTGCTAACTGCTTATCAGAATCTGTGACTTTCTTCCAGACCAGATAGTTGTTTTCCTGTAAGTTTAGTGAACACCATTATTCTCAGTACCAACATTTACTGAAAGCTGGTAGGTAGTAAGCTCCAAAGGGCAACTATACAAGCAATTGAGGACAAAATATAATCAACTAAAAGAAAAGCACATATAAAAGACATTAAAATATCACCTGTACCTTGTTAAGTCTATTCCTGGAGGATCTCGTTTTAATAAATAGATTAGTCGATTTGGAGTAGTTACAAGAATATCTACAGAAAAAACAAATGGTACAAATTGCAAAGACAAGTTTCATCCCTCTTGAACTAGGCTCCTGAATTTTCAGTTAATAGCCTGAAGTGGGGAGAGGAGGCAGTGGTCATACTCGCTACACCTACACAAAAGTTCTTCCCTGTCAGTAAGCTAACATACATATTTTTTTTATCCATCCTAGCACAAACTAGTATATCCCTTCTGTATTATATTTGATCTGTCCTCTCAGCTTCTAAGAGGCAAGAACACTATAATCCAACAGCTTGATTTTCAAACATGTTTTTCAAGGAAAATGCTTTTCTATCATTATTTTTTTAATCCTCACCTAAGGATATGCTTTTATTGATAACAGAGAGAGAAAGGGAGAGAAACATCGATGTAAGAGGGAAACATCAATCGATTGTCTCCCGTACACACCCTGGCACCCTGACCAGGTATCATATCTGCAACTTGGGTATGTGCCCTGATGGGGAATGGAACCCGAGACCTTTTGGTGTATGGGACAATGCTCCAACAAACTGAGCCACACTAGCCAGGCCAGGAAAATGCTTCTTTAAATGGAATTTTACTCAGAAGCTCAAGATACAAGATAGGTAAAAAGCAGATCCTCTGACTTATAAAGGTAGGGATGTAAGCTATTCTTGTCGACAGAGTATTTCCATGGCATTTAGTATAAAGGAGGATTTCTCAACCCCAGCACATTGACGTTTTGGACCAGAAAACTCTTTTGTTGTAGTGGGCCATCTTGTACATTGTAGGATGTTTAACAGCATCCCTGGCTTGTGCCCACTACAGATTAGTAGCACCATGCCCCAGGTGTGACAATTTAAAATGTCTCCAGATATTGCCAAATATCCCTGAAGGGTGAGGTGGGGGTGGCCTTTGATTGAGAATCACTAGTATATATTTATATAACTACTGGATGGGAGCAGGGAGATCTCTTTTAGCTTCTCTAAAAATCAAATTATATGCATGACTACACTTTAAAAACTCTTAGGTGTCAATTAGGATATTTGTAATTTCTAAATCCCCTTCATGCTCTATATCTCAAGCATGAATCCCTTACCAAATTTCTTAGATGATTTTGATCCAAATTTCTTGGCTGCAATTGCTGCTTTGTGGATCATGTGTATTCTGAATCCCATTCCCTCAGATATTTTTACTAACTCTCGATGAGTCTATAACAGAAAATGATAAAAACATCATCTGCTAAAATACCTGAATAAGATGTATAATCTCATTTACATTATTAAAAAAATAAATCCTTTACAACTCCATAAATATCTGAAATTAAACCTGTACTAATGTGTAGATTAACCTGGAATCTCAGCAGTTTGGAACTTCAATGCCTAGTAAGATTCAGTAATTTCTTCAGGTCTAATAAACAATTTTCAACAGAAAAAAACAAAACTCATCCAATCTGTTACTTATTGTTTTTAGAATATAGTACTATTATAAAACTATTTCATACTTGGCATGTATTTCACATTAAGCACATGAAGGGTGGAGCATATAATTGTATAGTTTTACTTTCTCAAAAACTTAAATGAATTTTCATTTTTCTAGGTGAGAAAAATAAAGTTTAGAATGACTGTATATTACAGTAACCTTTCAACTTCAAGGATCTTAGAGCATTCACCAAAGAAATACAAATGTTAACATCATGTTTTAGAAAATATTTGCCCATATGCAATAAGACATAGAAATGGGCTCTGTACAGAATATCTGTCCTGACCAAAGACACAGGCCTTATTCTTTTGAGACCTTTCTATTACCCCCAAATAAGAAAGATGACTGAAGCAAACACCAAAACATCCTCTTCAGAAGCGAGCGGTCATACCTGGCTGGCAAGTTCTCGTGTTGGTGATATAATCAGAGCTCTGAAGCCTTTATTTGTGGGTTGTTTCAGTTGCATTAAAATGGGAATGCTAAAAGCTAAAGTCTTTCCAGAACCAGTAGGAGCAGAAGCCAGAAGTTCTCGACCCTAAAAACAGAGTGTATTAAATTAACTAGTGATCAAATAATGCTCTCAGCCATAAAAATATATGTGATAAATCCAATCATCCATGTTCTCATCACTTGTCTAACTTCTCTTATATTTGCTTTTTTAACATTATCTACCCCTGCCACCATCACCACAATGGAGTTTCTGAGCACTGCCACTGACATCCATTCGAACTGGGTAAAGAATGTGGATAACAAATCCAAAGATAATTTTCAACCTCAATTATTTCCATTATTTCAATTGTTCTTTCCTACTAAACTCTTTATCAATGCAAAATTACAAAACCAACATTTTGTGCTGATATCTGCACTGCTCACACCCTGAGGAAGGTTTTAAATAAGTAACAAAATGGCTGAAAGAAAGAAAAAGTGGCCATAACCTGAGTGACAGAGCAATTAACAGGTGACAATCTTCAGTAAGTCACTGTGATTTTTAAAGCTTTAAGTTAAAGTCATGACAGAAATAATCTTAAATGAAAATTAAAAGCAAAGTTACTATCCATCAACAACATAATTCAAATGTATTTTCATGTCAGTTCTCAAAGAAAATGAAGAGGACCAGTATGGTATCCTATAACTACCAGAAATGAAGGCCATCTTGGTTTTGTAGGGGGAAAAGGTAGCTATCATCACTACCAAAAGAAACCTTAGAAAAACTTAATTTCCAAAAATCTAGGTTAACCCATACATCTATCAATAGGTGGATAAGCAAATTGTGATACATTCATACAACAGACTATACTCAGTAACAAACTACTGATGTATGTAACATAGATGAGTCTCAAAAACAGTACGCAAAGTGAAAGAAACCAGAAATGAAATAATGAATGATTCCCCTTATATGACATGCTAGAAGAGGCAAATCTAATATATGGCAATAGCAATCAGAACAGGGGTGGAGTGAGGACAGAATGGAAAGGGCGTAAGAGAATTTTCTGGGGCAATAAAAATGTTACATCTCTTCATTGGGGTGATGGTTACATAGGATATGCATCATTGAAACTCACTAAACTGTACATTTAATTATGTATTTTATTGTATGTAAAGTATACTTCAATAATAAAAAGTATTGAGGAGAAACCAGTCAGGTTAGTACAACAATTCTGTATTTCTGAAATAGTTCCTGGAAATTATAAACTAAATCATGGATGAATAAACGGAACATAATCTCTCAGAGTGTTTACACTATAGTAAAAGGAAAAAGATAAATATAATTAGTGCAATACATAGTAGTGTGAAGTATAAGACAAATGGTGCAAGAAAAAAACCACACTAAGTACCATGGAGACTTGGGTGATAGGGGAGCATTGGTAAATGAAAAAGATCACATCTAGCTGTAGTGATCAAGACAAGTTTTCAAAAGCACAGGCATTGGAGATGGACCTTAAAAGCAAGGTAAAGATTTCAACAGGGGGAGGAAATAAGGTAGAAAGGCAGATTTCAAAGGCAGAGAAAAGAGAATAAGCAAACACAGGAATGTCAGAGGCATTCTAGACCTTCATACTCACATGCAGCATAACTGGAATGGCTTGCATTTGGATTGGTGTAGGTGTTTGGAAACCTGAATCTAGAATGTTCTGAAGCAGTCGAGAATTGATTTTATATTCCTGTTCAAGTTGCTGAAATGTAGCAATTGGGTCAGGAAGATCAGTTCCTTGGATATGAATTTTGTGTTTATTCCGCAAGAAGTTTATCTGAAAAATGCAGTAAAGGAGTCACCATGGATATAGTAAAAAATATTGTCAGATGTTATAAAGCAAGTGTAGGATAAGTTTTAGTAGAATATGAAACACTTTGCATTAATTTTTCATTAAAGTAAAACTCAAACTAATTAACAAAACCATACTCACTTTTACCAACAGAGTAACCCAAGGACAGTAAAAAAAGTCACTAGGTGAGAAATTGGGGTTAAACATTTTTCTAACCTTTTCTTTTCTGATAAGCTCCAACTTTCCTGAAGTTAGTTTATTTTCTTTTTTAACTTTTTTATCTTCAATCTTTGCTTCCACAGATGATATCCACTGTATGGTAGAACCTTCTTCTTCTGAAGTAATTTCTAAAATAATTTTTAATAAATTAAAAGATTTTAAGTGCAACATTCTAGGGTGTAGCAAACAGGCCATACCTTCACACAAACAAAAGAACGTACTAGCTGTTGCAACTAGATAAAAGAAAGTATAGAAATTGGAAAGGAGAGGCAGGTTCTTTATTGGTAAAAATCAGAGCTCTGAAGCTCATTCTCTTCCTTTTGTTAGTTACTTCAGCTGTGTAATATGTAGATGACTCTATACTTGAAAACAAGAGATAGTTGGGAAACTACTTAAACAAAAAGAGGTTTCAATGAGGCAACCAGTTTTTTTTATATCCAAACACCAACCAGATAGAAAATAAATAGAATGAAAGAAAATAATTCACTTATAATAGCAATGAATGCAACACAGTACTTAAGTACTATCCTATATAATAAAAAGGTAATATGCAAATATGATGCACACTGACCAACAGGAGGCAGTTGCTCAATGCAGGAGTTGCCCCCTGGTGGTCAGTGAGCTCCCACAGTGGGGAGCGCCATTCAGCCACAAGCCGGACTGGCTGGCGAGTGCAGGAGCCTTTCCCACCTCCTTGGCAGCACTGATGTCTGACTGATGGCTTAGGCCCCGGGGAGTGGGCCTAAGCCATCAGTCAGACATCCCCCGAGGACTCCCGGACTGCTAAAGGGCACAGGCCAGGCCGAGGGGGACTCCCCCACCCCAAGTGCACAAATGTTGTGCATTGGGCCTCTAGTTCAATATAATAAAGACAGCAATTCTCACTAAATCTATAAATAACAGTTTAATGAAAAGTAATGACAGCATTGTTTTGGTAACTGGACTGGCTAACTTTAAAGTTTATATGGGAAAATAAATATGTAAAATAATCGAATTACTTTTGAAATTTCTTTTTAATTTTTTTCAACTTCACTGAGGTAAAATAGACATACAATAAATTTAAAGTACACAATTTGAGGAGTTTTGACATATGTACACACTTGTAAAACATCCACATTCAAGATTATTTACATCACCTCCCCAAATGTCCCCGTGGCTCCTTGTAATGCATTGCTCCATCCTTACTTTCCCCTACTGAACAGCATTTTGATAATTTTGTTATTACAAATAAAGTCACTATGAGCATCTGTATACAAGCCTCTGTGAGGGCAAAGGTTGTCCCTTCTCATGGGTAAATTCTAGGAGTGAAACAGGTGGGTCATATGGGAGATGCATGTTTAACTTAAAAAAAATAAAAGTCCTTTGTCAATTTCTACCAACAAAGACCACTAAAATGTTAACTGGGTTTGCACTGATAGAACACTTTAGGGAGAAAATACTCAGTTGCCTAATCAATAACACCACTCTACCAAATTTTGTAAGATAAGGCCACAATAATTTTTAAAAAGCTGGTACTGGTGTATGAATACAGAAATATAAATCAATGAACTAGAAGAGAGCCCAAGATAGACTCAAATATACAAGTCCGTCCCCCCCCCCCCTCCCAATCCACAGGGGATATGTTCCAAGGCCCCCAGTGGATGTCTGAATTTTTCCATTTAATATATTGGGACTGTGTTTGACTGCAGGTAACTGAAACAGCAGAAAGAAAAACCACCGATAAGGGGGACTACTGTATATGGATCATACATTTACAGTAAGAGCTGCATTTAAATCTTTAGTGTAGCAAGATTTGTAATAAATGCCTGGAAAGACCTCAAGGCTATCAACTGATAAATGACTGCATATTATTTGACTTGTACCGTAAGTTTATACTATCTTCATAATTGGAAAAAATTAAAGCGAAAAGACAGAAATCAAGGACTAACCCGAAGTCATTCTCTTCCTCTTTTTCTTGTTCTGCTCCCTCTTCCTTTCAGTTAGGCTCTCTTCTTTTTCCTCTTCATCTTGGAGCTCCTGATTACTTCCTGATTCACCGCATTCACCTGGGACAGACTTCTTGTTTCCAAAAAAGTCCAGTCCCTGCAGCACCTCCGCAGAATCAAAGTCATATTTCCTTTTTCCTACCTAAAACCCAAAATATTGAAAGTGAAATCCACGGAACGGCATTCCTGTCACCCAAGCAGTATTAGCAGTAAGGGGATGGGTCCAATGACTCCCCTTCTTTTTTATACTTTCACCAAATATGTGTTGCACTGACAAATGTGTTTGGGCAAATGAGATCCCAGATTGTACCTTTTCTGACTTTAGATCAGTAATAATAATAACCAATATCAACAAACACATATGCTTATCAGCATAACACTTTTATGCTGTTAGGCAGATTTCTAAACATGTATATATATATGAAATTACATTCTTCAATAACCCTATGAGGTAAACAGCAACATTACAAATGAGAAAATCGAGGCATTAGGTTAACTTGATTTGGACCCAAATAATATGGCTCCAGATTTCAAACTTTTTTTTCTTTTTTAAAATATATTTTATTGATTTTTTTACAGAGAGGAAGGGAGAGGGTTAGAGAGTTAGAAACATCGATGAGAGAGAAACATCGACCAGCTGCCTCCTGCACACTCCCCACTGGGGATGTGCCCACAACCAAGTTACATGCCCTTGACCGGAATCGAACCCGGGACCCTTCAGTCCCCAGGCCGACGCTCTATCCACTGAGCCAAACCGGTTAGGGCTTATTTTTATTATCTAAAGTTTTACATATGTCTCTTTACCCCCAATTGAAACCTCCCCCCCCTCAGATTTCAAACTCTTTTTTTTTTTTTAAATATATATTTTATTGATTTTTTTACAGAGAGGAAGGGAGAGGGATAGAGAGCCAGAAACATCGATGAGAGAGAAACATTGACCAGCTGCCTCCTGCACACCCCCTACTGGGGATGTGCCCGCAACCAAGGTACATGCCCTTGGCCGGAATTGAACCTGGGACCTTTCAGTCCGCAGGCTGACGCTCTATCCACTGAGCCAAACCGGTTTGGCCAGATTTCAAACTCTTAACTACACTATACCGCCCGTCGGAGAAATAAGAAACACACGTGCCGCGCACTCACAGGAATGTCCCTAGTCCCAAATATCAAGATCTTCCACCACTGGGCCCCAACTACTTCCGATTTATCACTCACTGCTGTCCTGTGTAAGGCTCCCGTTTGTACATCTTCCCTCTCACTTGGTTCAGTCACTCGCTACGGGAGCGCGGCACTAAAAAGCAGCGCGTCCAGTAAGGTTCTCCGCCTGCCCGGCCAACCCCGGGAGGCTTGTAACGGAAGCATCTGCGCTCTCCACGGGGAGCTGCTTCCGTTTTAGGATGGCGGTGGGAGGGGCCACCCAACTTACTCCACGGCCAAGCCCAACTAAATCTACAAGAACGAGAAACGCGTTAACTTGGAAAGCGGGTCCTGACTGGGTACACTGAACGCCACGCGGGGCGGGGGGGTGCCCCACAGCCTGGCCACGGGGTCTCCGAGGGCAGGCGCCCCCGCATCCAGCTCACTCCGGGGCTCCCGCTCCTTCCCGGTGACCCCGGCTTCCGTCCTCCCAGCACAGTACCTGGAACCGGGCTGCGTCCGCTGAGAAGCGCCTCACGTCGAACTTGGCCCCAGCACCAAGCCGGCGGAAGAGATCGTGCGCGTCCATCTTTACCCAGAAAGCTCTGCGGTCCCACAGCGCCTGCGCGGAGGGCCTCTCCCAGAAGGCCTTGGGCTAGACCGTGGGTGGGCGTGGCTCTGGGGGGCGGAGCCTGGCCGCGGCGAGCGGCTTAGTAGTTGGTTTTCGTCTGGTACCGCTGTGTGTCCTGGGGTCCACCGTTATTCATTTGTTCTTTCAAAAAATACACTGAGTGGCCAGATTGTTATGACCGGCCAGATTTTTATGACCACCCCATCAGTACAATGAAGTAAATTAGTTATGCACATAATAATAATAATAATAATAATTAAACCTTGAGAGTATTTGCTTAAGAAGTTTTCAATATTCAGTATTTTTGGAAGTGTCAATGAAGTACTGATGGGGTGGTCATAATAATCTGGCCACTCAGTGTAGTTATCAAGAGCCTCTTCTGCGGAACACTGATCTAGACTTTGAGGGATACTTTGGTGAACCACTTCAAGTTTCTCACTTCAGGAGGATCAGCATTTTAGTGGGAGCAGAAGACATTGTTAACAAATAAGGAAGATCATTTCCGAAAGTGGGAAGTGCTCTTGAAACAAATAAAGCCGCGTCGTTGATAGAGAAAGGGAAGGGGAGCTGCTTTCAGGCCTATTGTTCAGGTTGGTAATGATGGAGTGATATTTGAGTGAAGGGGAGGCAGCCTTCCCCAGATCTGGGAAACAGCCTTCCCCATGGAGCAAACACAGGTGCGCAGAAGGGAAAGGCTGGGACACTGAGGATATAGAAAGAAGGCCAGGGCGACTGGAGAAAAGTTGCCTCGAGGAAGTGTGGCTCTGATAAGGTTGGCGGGACAAATAGAAACCAGATCTCATGGAATCTTATAAACACGGTCAGAGTAAGGAATTTGGATTTTAATCTAAACAGGCGGGGAAACTTTCAAAATGTTTTGCTGAGAGAGCAACTCAGTAAAACTCAAGTAGCAAGAGATTTAGCTTATTGATTTTAATTTTTTTTTCATTGCATTTGGACTGTACAGAATTGTTTACTCGTGCATTGCCTCTCCCCTTCTAGAATGAAAGACCATAAGCACAGGGATCTAACATCCTTCGCTGCTGTATCCCCATCTCCAGTGTTCTCTCAGTAAATATTTGATGAAAGAATGAGCGAATGTTTTTGAAAAGATCACTCTGGCTATTTGGAGAATGGACCATAGAAAGGGTAAGAATGGAAACAAGGCGGCCAATCAGAGTAGAAATTGTGCTGGTGGTTTGGACGAGGGTGGTATCTCTGCTGATGAAGTTAAATGGGTAGATGTGAGATATATTTTGGAGGTAGAGCTAAATGCACCTAATGCATTTCACGTGGAGATGAGGTAAAGAGAGCAAAATATCACTCCCAGGGTTATTGGCTTGAAACCCTGGGTAGATGGCATGCCATTTACTGAGCTAGGATAGAATAAGGGAAAAACAACCTTTTTGAGAGGATGAGGTAGGAGGGTGGGGGAGTGTGGAATCAATTGTTATGTTTTGGGTATGTCAAGATGCCTACTTGACTTTAAGTAGTAGAGACATCCAAGTAGATAGTTGGATTCATGAGTCTGAAGCTCAAGGAAGAAGGACAGGTCTGAAGAAACAAATTTAGGAGTCACCAACATATAAATGCTACAACGGAGTCACATCAAACAAGCACTTAACTTATTAAAATCAAATTATACACACCAGCTATATATAACATACTCCACTTGGGTAAGTTACTTATCTTCTCTAAATTTTAATTTTATCAATCTCATTTCAGCTTTGCTTCTTCTAAATATGGACCTTTGTACATATTTTTCTTTCTTCTTAGAATGTCCTCTTCTCATTTTTCTCCATGGCAAAATCCTTATATCCTTCAAAACTCAGTTTATATGTCCTCTCCTCTACGATGCTTACCCTGAATGTCCCCTCCTTGACATAGCCCATCTTTTTCCCGTGATTTCTCCTGCCACTTTGTAAGTACCTCTATTTTAGCACTTTTCCTATTGCATTATATTTATGTTTCCACATCTGCTTTACACCAGACTTTGAGCTTTTTGAGGGATGAGCCTATATCTCATTTATCTTCATATTATGTTTGCCTAGCACGGAATCTGTTTCATCTAGTAAGCAGTTAATAAATCTTGTGGAATTACTGAAGTGAAATGAAATAAACAAAAATCCCCGAAACTGCCAACCTTGTGGATTTAGGAAAGGATCTATGTCTTTTGCTTGGTACTTTGTAATAAATTTTGGCTGAATGAATGAAGTCAAATGGAAACGGTCAGACTTGTATCATTTCTTACCTTGATAATGTCCAGATGACTCATTAAGGGACCATTTCCTCTTCAGGACAAAACAAAACAAAACAATTAGAAACTGTCGTCAATAAAAGCGGCAAGGAATTGAGTCACCGGTTTGTAAAACTGGAATTTCTCCAAAAACCGGTATGGTCTGATTGGCAGACACACTTGGTTTCTCAACTGTAGCCAAGGGAGAACACCAAGTCTGTCTACCCCTATAGTGGGAGCTAGTTGGGAAATTTTGTTGCTGTGAACAGAGTGATCACTCCATACCCCCAAAGTATGTTTCTGAGAGCCTTTCTCTCCTCCACTTCCTGCCCATCATTTAACCAACTCTGTTGTCGTCTGTACAGCATGCTTGGCATAAGCTGGGACCTAAGGAAGCAGAGGAAGATTAGACACGGCCTTTGCTCTCAGGTAGCTTACAGTCTACTATGGACAGAGAGCTCTTTGAAACGGAGCAAGAAAATTCTCTAGGCACTGTGGTATAAATTATAGGAGGTAAGGGATTAGTCACTCTGTGGTGGAAGGATGGGCTGGGCTTTGTGGAAAGTTAGGAACGCTTGGTAGAGGAGAGAAAGCTTGCACACCCTTAAAAAATGAGATGTTGACAACTTAGACGAGACAGATAAAGCTATTCTAAGTGAAGGGAGCAGTAGCAACAGATGTAAGGAGGCATGAAAAAAAAAACCCGTGGTGTTTGGGATCTACTAGTGATTCTGCAAAGCTGAAAGCAGATGATGCAGCAACAGGCACAGCTGGACAGGTGGGTAAGGACTCCTCCCATAGACCTTATGGGTAGACCAAAAAGTTTGATTTGATCTTGTAGGTACTAGGCGCTATCAAAGGATGTTAAGCCAGTGATAGAAACAGTTTTCAATGTAAAAAGATCACTTCAGCAGCAACATGGAAAGGAGGCAAGTCTGGAGTTAGGGAGACCAGAAGAATATTGTGTTAGGGTCGCCGAAGGAGGAACACACGAAGCCAAAAAGGGTGAAGAATTTAACATATTGTAGTAGTAGTCTAGTGAGGAAAGGAGGCAGTAGTAAAAGGGAAGAGGGGAAGGGAGCGGGGCATTTAGTGGTAAAGTTGGTAGGACTCCCTTTGTGACTGACTGTAGGAAGACGGGGAAAGGGAGAAACCTAAAACAATTCCCACGTCTCAAACTTAGGTGACTGGGTGAGGGTCGCTCTGTTCATGTAGATGGGGAATAATGGAGGGCTAGGTTTGCATGAGGACAAGATAATAAGTTTAATTTTGAGTAAGTTGAGTTTGAGATTTTCTGTGGGACATTTGAGTGGAATTTGTAATGATCATTTGAAAATAGGAATTCTTTTTACTTTAAAAAGGGAGGTATAAAATTATAGATCACAGCTGCAGGGCTAATTAAAATAAAGTGTGATTGGTTATAGATTTTTTAAAACCCAGCAACCCCTCACACATAGACAAAAATCTCACTTTTCCTGGGGCTAAGTTCTTAATTTCAAATTCTCAAAATTCATTAATATTCCATCTAGTACTTTAGAAATCCAAATTCTTACATTTTGTTCATTGCAGCATTATTTACAGTAGCCAAGATATGGAAGCAACCCAAGTATCCATCAATAGATAAATGGATAAAAACGTTGTGAGATATATATATAAAGAATTGAGCCTTACCATTTGCCACAGCATGGTTGGACCGTAGAGGGTATTATGCTATGTGAAATATGTCAGACAGAGAACGACAAATATCATATGATTTCACTTATATGTGGAATCTAAAGAATAAAAGAAACAAACAAACAAAATAGAAAAGCTCATAGATACAGTAAACAGATTGATGGTTGCTAAAGGGGCGGGGGTTGGTGGCTGGGCAAAAAGATGAAGGGATTAAGAAGTACAGCTTAGAGTTACAAAATAGTCACTGGGATGTAAAGTCCAGCACAGGGTATATAGCCAATAATATTGTAATAATTACTTATGATGCCAGGTAGGTACTGGAAATATCGAGGGGAATACTTTGTATAGTATATGATTATCTAACCACTATGCTGTAAACCAATATAAAATAATATTGAATATAAACTGTAACTGAAAAATAAAATAAGACAAATTCTTATACTTTTGTGCATTTTTTTGGCCATCAAGAGTCAATAGAGTACATTTTTCAGGCTTTAATGTAAATGTGATGCAAAGTAAATGTAACTACTCAGATATTGTAATCGAGACTGATTTCAAGTAAATATTTTCAGAACCAAAGCTCACCTCATGGTGGCACTCGGGTATTGTCAGAATGAAGGGTTCTGCAATCATCTTACTAATCAGTGGACAGTTCACATTGAAGTAAAGAGTTAGTGTGAATTGTTGGTCCATAGACTCCACAATTAAACTCCCTGGGGAGAACTTACAGGGGAGGTTATGCTATGCTGCATTAAAAAAAAAAAAATAGTTTTTTTTATTGATTTCAGAGAGGAAGGGAGAAGGAGAAAGAGATAAAAAAAACAAAACATCAATTATGAGAGAGAATCATTGATAGGCTGCCTCCTGCCTACCCCCTCCCTACTAGAGATCAGCCCTCAACCCGGCATGTGCCCTGACCGGGAATCGAATGGTGCCC